TACAGGAAACTCACGTTGCTAAAAAACATAGACATGTCTTGATTAATAGAAGACTGGGAAAAGAGTTTGTAACCTCCAATGTTAATAAAAAAAGAGGGGTGGTGTTATATATAAAGGAGAGATTATTTACTAAATTGATTTCCAAAGATGATGAGGGGAGAGTGATTGTGGTGCAAATTTCATTACAGGGTGAGAAGATAATTCTTGTGGGAATATATGCCCCTAATGGAAATAAAGCTGAATTTTTTGGAAAATTAGAGGAAAGATTGATGGAGTTTATAGATCAGAAAATAATTCTGATGGGGGATTGTAATGGGATGGTTAGGCCAGAAATGGATAGAATGTCAAAGAGAAAAAATATAAATGAGGGTAAACTCCCCAAAATTTCTTTGAATTGGTTGAAAACTTTGGTTTAATAGATACCTGGAGGTGGAAACACCCAATTACAAAACAGTTCACCTTTTCTCGGAACCTCACCAAAGCTCGAGTCGAATAGACTATGTTTGTTGGTTTCTAAAGAACTGGTTTCCAGAGTAAATAAAATTGAGATCACTCCATGAACTCTATCAGACCACAATTCGATTTATCTGGAATTAAAAGGTATAGAACAATCCTCATTTAGATGGAGGATGAATGACACTTTATTTGAGAACCCAAAAATAGTAGCGAAAGCGAAAGAGACAATTAAGGATTATTTCGAATGGAATTTACATAAAGAAACCAGTCTGGACACTGTATGGGACGCGAATAAAGCTGTCATGAGAGGTTTCCTAATCCAGCAAAATAGCCATAAAAAGAAAGAAAGAGAAAGAAAAAGAAGAAATTCTGGTTCAACTCATGGAAAATGAGAAAAAATTGATAATAAAACCAAAAGATGAACAAGTTAAACAGACTATTAAAATGCTACAAACTCAGTATTCCATGTTGGTGAATAAAGAAGTGGAATGGAAAGTAAAATTAATGAGACAAAAAAATGTTGAATCAGCAAATAAAACTGGGAAGCTTCTGGCATGGCAGCTGAGAAAACGTCAAAGTCAAAATTTAATTAATAAAATCAGGATAGGGGGAACAGCTGACGGAAGATCCAAAAGAAATAAGAAGAGCCTTTCAAGGATTCTATAAGGAACTTTACAGGAAAGAAAAAGAAGATATAAAAGAGATAGAAAGATATTTGGAAATTTATAAAGGAAAACAGATATCATTGGAGGAAAGAGAACAATTAAACGCCCCAATAACTAATCAAGAAATCCAAAAGTCAATAAAGAAGATGAAACAAGGCAAAGCCCCAGGACCGGATGGGTTAACCTCTAAATATTATAAATCACTTGGTGAGCAGCTAGTACCAGTTCTAGGGGAAGTAATGAATGCTATTTTACAAGGAAAAGGGAAAATACCACACTCCTGGAAGGAGGCTTATATAACGTTGATCCCCAAACAAGATACGGACCATCAGAGTGTTAAAAATTTCAGACCAATATCATTGTTAAACAATGACTATAAACTTTTTGCGGCTATCTTGGCCAACAGATTGAAGACAATATTAAATGATTTAATTCATAAAGACCAGGGAGGTTTCTTGCCAGGTAGGCAATTGAAGGATAATGTGAGACATATTATTAATATATTGGAATACCTGGAAGTAAGAAATGATAAGCCAGCCGTACTGATGTTCATCGATGCTGAAAAAGCATTTGATAATGTATCCTGGTCATTTATGAAGAACAGTATAGAAAAGATGGGGATCTGTGGCACCTTTTTAAAAGGAATTGAGGAAATTTACTCAGAGCAGAAAGCAAAATTAATTGTGAACAACACCTTAACAGACTCATTTGACATTACAAAGGGCACCAGACAAGGGTGCCCACTATCTCCGCTGCTTTTTATCAGTGTATTAGAAGTACTAATAAATTGCCTGAGAGGAAGAACAGAGATAAAAGGGGTCAAAATAGGCGCCAAAGAATTCAGACTTAAGGCCTACACGGATGACTTGGTATTAACCTTAGAAGAACCTCAAGAAAGTGTAAAAATAGCATTGGAAGAAATGGGAAAATTTGGGCAATTGGCAGGATTTAAATTGAATAGGACAAAGACGAAAATGTTAGGCAAAAATTTAGAAAAAAGTGAAGCAGAAAGGTTAGAACAAGAAACTGAACTCAAGGTGGTCAAAAAAGTTAAATATTTGGGAATTTGGATGACGGCAAAGAACATAAACTTATTCAGTGACAATTACCAACCAGTCTGGAAGGAGATTAAAAGAGATTTAGAAATATGGGACAGACTAAAGCTGTCAATGACTGGAAGAATGTCAGCGATCAAAATGAACTTATTACCGAAAATGGTATTTTTGTTCCAGACAATCCCGATAATAAGAGGTTTAAGACAATTTAAAGAGTGGCAAAAGATTCTCTCTCGCTTTATATGGCAAGGGAGAAGACCAAGGATCAAATTTAAAATATTGACAAATAAGAAAGAAAGGAGGGGGGGGTTCGCTGTACCTGATCTGAAACTCTATTATGAAGCGGCGTGTTTATGTTGGATAAAGGAGTGGATAACCCAGGAGAACCCAGATCTGTTAGATTTGGAGGGGCACAACAATAGATGGCACTCCTATCTTTGGTATGGTAAGGCAAAAGTGCATAAAGGGTTTACAAATCATGTGATAAGGGGTGCTTTATTTGAAGTCTGGGACAGAAACAAGAATTTGTTGGAAAGGAAACACTGTGGTGGGTGTCACCAATTGATATGTTAACAGTTAAAAATTGAACATAGAAGGGAGAGGGGCCACCTATGAGGAGATTCTGATGAAGGCCGAAAAAGGTTGGAAATTGAAGCCTTATGATTGTATTGCTGGAAAATTGACAGGATGGTTGCAATACCATCAAGTCAATGATGTTTTTAAAGATGACAAAAAATTAGGATTTGAAGACAAAAAAATCGAAATTTCAAATGGACATTATAGAAAGTAGGTCTAAGCTACTTTCAAAAATGTATAATCTCCTATTAGAATGGAATACAAAAGACGAACTTATAAAAGAAGCTATGATAAAATGAGCTATTGATCTAGGACACAACATAGACTATGATGTATGGGCCAAACTCTGGAATGAGAGTATAAAATTCACCGCTTCTTCTGCCTTAAAAGAGAATGTTATGAAGATGGTCTATCGTTGGTATCTTACTCCCACCAAATTGGCAAAAATGTACAGAACTAGTAGTAAAACTTGCTGGAAATGCAAGGAAAAGGATGGCGACTTCTATCATATGTGGTGGTCATGTAATAAATTAAAAGAGTTCTGGGAATCGATTTATAACGAGTTAAAAAAGATGTTTAAGTATTGTTGTTGTTGTTTAGTCGTTTAGCCGTGACCGACTCTTTGTGACCCCATGGACCAGAGGACATTTAAGTATAGCTTTCCCAAAAAGCCGGAAGAATTCTTGCTAGGTTTGGTGGGAGAAGATATTAAGAAGATTGATCAAAGATTATATCTGTATGCAACAACAGCAGCTAGAGTTCTGACAGCTCAAAAGTAGAAGCAACAGGAGATGCCGACAATAGGAGAATGGCAGATAAAGCTGGTTGAATAGGCTGAGATGGCTAAATTGACACACAGAATTCGCAATCAGGAGGAGACAAAGTACCAAAAAGAATGGTGTACATTTTTGATTTATATAAGTGAGAACTGTACAAATTTGAAAACGTTGGCAGGATTGAAGTAAATCTTATGTCATGTTGTAATATGTAATCAAAGAAACTGTGAATTATAGAATAGAATAGGAAAAATGATGGAAGGGAAGGATGGAAGTCAACAGCTCTACGGAGCATAAAGTAGGATATATGTAATAAGATATGATGTTTTATTGGTGTTGGTGGGTGTTGGTGGGTGATCTTTAATCTCAATAAAAATTATTTAAAAAAGAAAATAAAATTGTGTTTTTACTAAGAAAGAGTTAACTCAAACTTTCGTGGAACCAGAAAAAACCTGAGTCCCCCTAAAAAAAGGAGGCAAAGCTTGCTGGCTCTCTTTAACAGTGAGACCGAATTGTCTGCCTCAACATTCAGTCTGACCTGTTACATGACTGAAATGTGTCCCAGTATAGGACTGTCATTGATTAATCTCCCCCAGGAATTTCAAAACGACACTTTAAGAAGTATCTGAATTTGTAGAAGAGGGAGAGGCCACAACAAACTTTAAAGTAAATACCTTAGAATATTTACATGGTTTTGCAGAAGAAAATATGCTGTACTCATTGACTGAGTCTTAAAGAATTCCTGAAGTATTAGCTTTGGTGGGGGTTGCGCAGCACATCTGCTGTGGCACTCCCCATTTTACCTCTAGTGGCGAAATGGGATAGACCACTCTTGACAGCAAGGCAGCCCAAAGTCTGCCATTCTTCTCAGGTAGGGACTTTATCTTCCTTCCATTTCTTTTTTCTCCCCATTTTACCTTAAGTGGAGAAATGGGATGCACCACCCAAAGTCGGCTAATATTAATTGATTAAAATTGGACCTGAAAGTCTGGTCAGGGATTTCACCCCTGCCCGCTGCCAAAGCTATCTCCCACCTCCAAGCACTACTATTTTGCCAAGAAATGTTGCTTTTGGTTAAATGATACAACATACATGATTTGCCATATATATTTATTTTGGACATGATTCAATGACCTGTTCGACACTGGAATTTGCTGCCAAGGAGTGTGGTGGAGTCTCCTTCTTTGGAGGTCTTTAAGCAGAGGCTTGACAACCATATGTCAGGAGTGCTCTGATGGTGTTTCCTGCTTGGCAGGGGGTTGGACTCGATGGCCCTTGTGGTCTCTTCCAACTCTATGATTCTATGACCTCATTTGCACCTGAAAGTCAACTACAGCCTGTCTTTAAGGAGGAGCTTCTAGACTTCTAGAAAGAAAGCCTGGGTGTCCTCAGGCTGAGACCTCCCCTGCTTCAACCACTAGGCCTCCAATTTCCATAAATGGTGGGTTCTTCTGGGCTGCAGTTTCTCTCAGCTACAGCTCATTGGAATCCTCGTCCATTGCTTCAGTGCACTTAAATTGAGTGATCTCAATTCCTAATGATTCAAGACCAGTCTCCAGCAACCCCTCAGTGTAGTCACAGAAACTAGCTGTTCCACAGCCTCGGAGAGCGCCTAGGATGCTGCTTCCCCCTGTTGGGAAAAACACACACATATATTTTTGGAATCCAAAACCCACTCCCTCAAACAGAAGGGTGGGCAACTTTTCTCAGACCAAGAGCCTTTTTCCAGTCTGGGTGACCTTCTGGGAGGTCCACATGCCAATGGAAACATATGTAAAATTCACCTTTACACTGCAGGCTATTTTATACATACATTCAACCCCCCCCCTCTATACTCCCTCCAGGTAACCAAGATTCAGGGGCAGCAATCCAGCCAGGCCAAAGCATACAGGTAGGGTATGAAGTGGGGCTTGTGAGGGGTGTGGCCTATGGAGAGGAGGTGTGTCTAAGGAGGATCCCAAAGCCCAGAGAGAGAGAGTCCTAGAGGAATGCCTTTGGCCCCTGGGCCTGTGTGTCTCCATCCTACCCCTCCCCCCCAATTTAAAGTGCAAATTTAAATATGTATTTTTATTTAACAAAATCTATGCTTTAAATGTATAGTACAGATGGGGCATTAGCTGCACTCCATCATACAAGACTCACCGAAGTTCAGGCGAGCCCCAATGTAGAAGCATTGATCCTCCTCATTTCTGCAGCTGACGGTCTTATTGCCCTCACACTCGTCTGAATAGATGGAGAAGCAACTCGAGCACTTCAGCCCATTGAGCTCCCTCGTCTCACTCTCAGGCACTGGAAAACAATCACCACACCACACCAACATTGCAATTAGTCAATGTATTTCTTTTTCAGATGCAAACCACAACTTGCTGTATGTGAGGGGTGGGAATTGTGCTTCCCTTCCAAGATGGATGCGTACCACCTTCTAGCACTTCTGCAAGTGGAGTGCTTCAGCCATACTCCATTCATCCAGGGCTACATTAATGCATGGTGCAAGAGATTTCTGACAGGGGCCACATTAACAGAATACATTTCAAGCACAGGGATACCACTTTAAGCAATTGGGCTTAGCACTGAGCACCACTGGGGGGCATTCTGAGAGACAAAATGGTAGCCGGCTTCAAGGAAGTAAACCAAGGTGCAAAATGAACACTCAAGCCCTTCAAGATCTCATTAAGTGGGATTGCTTCCAAAGGACTCTTAAGGACCATCTGCATTCAGAATTCCCTGATAAGATCGAGGAACACTGGACCAAGCTAAAAACATCCATTATTGCAGCTTGTGAACAAACTATTGGATACCAAACCAAGGAACACCAGAACTGGTGTGCTGTTATTCCTATCTTCCTCTGCACCTGAGGGTCTCAGGATGCAATTCATGGTAGCTCACTAAGTCAGGCTCCGGCTCAGTGCAGCTTCCAGCTTTGGGGTTCTTCGTTCAAATCCCAACCCTAGCTTCTGTCTCTAGTTTGAAAAGGATGGTGATACAGGCCTGCGTCAGCAGCTGGTGTATGCCAGGAGCCTAGCCGGGGCTTACAGATTGAACCTTCGTATTAACTGTTTTCAGTGAGGGCCACATTTCCTTCTAGGCAAGCTTCTCAGGGCCACATGACAGTGACAGGGCCTGTTGTGAAAGTGAGTGGAGCAACAAATGTAATTTTTAAACTTTTATTCTTTGCACCACCTGGTTGTTCTCCCCTTTGTGTAGATAGTGTTCCTCTATAGCTTAGTAATTAGGTGGCACTGGAGCCCATTGCATCTAATACATCTTTCTTAGCATTTGCTTTAACCTGAAGATATTAATTCCCTGAATGCAAACCTAAAAGAAATCAGTTCCTTCCTCTACAAGAAGGACAGAGGACTGTCCCACAAATATATCTCTACAAACACAAATGCATCAAAGAAAATGGGTCACTCTAGGTTTGGGGGCTAGAACTCTGGGCAACCAATGAACCAGTGAAGTGTAGTGGTTAGAGGGTTGGACTAGAATCTAGGAGACCAGGGTTCAAATTCCACTGTAGCCATGACACTTGCTGAGTGGCCTGGGGCCAGGAACCATCTCTCAGCTTAACCTATTTCACTGGATATTTTGAGGCTAAAATGGTGAGTGGGAGCTCAAGCTTTTTGGAGGAAAGCATAGGATGTAAATACCAGAAGCAGCTGTCAGAGAGGAACTGTAAAATTATGGGAGGGGTGTTTCTAGCACTAAGGTAAAACTGTGATGCTCCCTTGTAATTTTTGCTAATAGATGCTGTATGTTGTTCACGTAATCTTCTTACTGGGATTTTGGGTTTTGTTCTATTAGTTCCCGCCACCCCCATACTATGGCTCCAATGCTTCCCTTCTGGTTCCCTCTGTCAGTGGCTCCTCCCTGTCCCACCAATCTGAATCAGGTTTGAAATCTTCTTTCCTAGTGTCACCCTCAGGCACCTCCTGGAGTGTCTGGCTGCCACCACTCCTCCTTGTTTAGTCAGTCCCTGACATCAGGATACTGCCAAAAACTTGTTTGTCTTTCTTTGACCTCTCTCATTGCTTGAGTTTTGTGAGACCAGCTTTCCTGATGATGATACTTACTTTCAGGAGGTCCGCTGTTGCACATATCTGTCTTGCAGCAGGAGAGCTTGCTGTGGGTGTACAGTGATGAGGTTATGGAGACACTGACATAGTCTGCATCACACAACTCTGTATCGATGCAGGACTTGAAAACCACTCTTGACCCCAAAAGTGCTATAAAAGAAAGAATTGGAATAGGAAATAACTAGACCTGGAGATAGGGCTGGTCCACCCATGAGGCAAGGGTTGATGGTCACCTTATGGGCAGGATCCAGAGGGGCAGGGGATCTGACCACCAAGAAAAGCATCGCCTGATGCTGCTGCCTTTGAAGCTGTGGTTTGATCCTTGGAGGCAAGGTCTGCCACCTCCTCGTCAGTTCCTCTCCCCCATTTGAGCCACCCCATGTCTCTGTTGTTTGTGACAGGGACCTTGGAGCTCCTTCCTTTTTCTATTTTAATATAATGTTTATTAAAATTTCTTTTTCCCTTTATAACAGCCAAATAAAATTTCTTCATCACATATATGTTTGCTCAAATTGAGCATTGACTTCCTCCCATCCCCCTCCCTGACTTCCATATGCAATCACTTTTATTTCGCATTTCTAAATCACCCTATTTACTTTATCTCCATACTTAAAAGACTTACTTCTAATATTTATAAACAGGTATCAAATCATAACCTAACAAAATATTTTAAATCAATCCTGCAAATGTTTTAAAATGTTTGCAATGTCTATTCATATATGGTACAAATCTACTCCAGTCCTTTTCAAACAGTTCATCTCGCTGGTTTCAGATTTCCCCCATCGCAAGTTTAAAAGGTAAAGGGACCCCTGACCATTAGGTCCAGTTGTGACCGACTCTGGGGTTACGACGCTCATCTCGCTTGATTGGCCGCGGGTGCCGGCGTACAGCTTCCGGGTCATGTGCCAGCATGACTAAGCCACTTCTGGCGAACTAGAGTAGCGCACGGAAGCGCCATTTACCTTAACGCCAGAGCGGTACCTATTTATCTACTTGCACTTTGACGTTCTTTTGAACTGCCAGGTTGGCAGGAGAAGGGACCGAGCAACGGGAGCTCACCCCGTCGCGGGGATTCGAACCACTGACATTCTGATTGGTAAGTCCTAGGCTCTGTGGTTTAACCCACAGCGCCATCTGCATCAAATACCACCTCAGAGCTCCTTTCTGAGGCTCCCTCCACCTCGCTGGTGCCCATGCAGGCACACTGCCTCTTTCCTTGTGGGGTGGTCATTCGCAAAGCGCAGGCTGCAAAGCCACCCTACCTGTGCCTTGCAGGGCTGCCTGCACTGCCTGGCTGCCTTTGACTGTCAGAGTGGCTTCCGTCTTTCCTCCTGTGCTAAAAAAGCAGGCAGGTGGCAGCCAAGGCTGTCTCTGGCCGGAGCCTGCACTCCACCCAGGCTCTTGCAGCTGGGGAGGAGGAGCACTTTAACTGAGCCCCTGCCCCCTACTGACTCATTTGTGGTTCCACAAAATTGCTGGGCTGAGGTGAGGGCAGCGGTGTGCTCTTAACTCAAGCAGTTTAAGGAGGGAGGGAGGAATAACCTTTATAAGCCTCGTCATGCAGCTTGTTTCTCCCACTGCCTGTATGAAGGACAGAACACGATGGTGATTTCACTTAGCGATATATCTTTAATGAAACTGCCACCCCTCCTGAGTCCCTCTGCCTCCAGCTCCAGGCTGCAGCTTGTTTAGTTTTTCCTCAGTGTGCTGGGTGCTGGAGGCAGAGGGAATCAGGATCGGCATGGTTTCCCCCACCGATTTACTGCTGAGTGAAGCTGTCATCACGGTCTGCCCCTCATACCGGTCCTGGGATGATATATCAATTAATCGCCCAGGCCTAATCTTCAGTCACCCTTTCTTCCGGGTCTGCAGGGTGGGGAACATTTTATGGTTTACCTCAGGTATCCAATTGTGTTGAGCTGGCCCTGCTTGGAGCAGAAAGAGATTTCTCCAGTTTTATCTATTTGTTGAATGTGAGTCAGGAATGGAGAACCTTTGGCTGTTTGGAGAACCTATTTAAGTTACATTATAGTCCAAAGGCTATCCTCATCAGGAAATAAGGATTTGTTTTAAGTTTTTCTTGTGTGCTATAACTCCCTCCAGGGACGTGGGTGGCACTGTGGGTAAAACCTCAGTGCCTAGGACTTGCTGATCGTATGGTTGGCGGTTCAAATCCCTGCGGCAGGGTGAGCTCCCGTCGTTCGGTCCCAGCTCCTGCCCACCTAGCAGTTCGAAAGCACTCTTAAGTGCAAGTAGATAATTAGGTACCGCTCTATATCGGGAAGGGAAATGGCGTTTCCATGTGCTGCGCTGGTGCTGGCTCGCCAGCCGCAGCTTCGTCACGCTGACCACGTGACCCAGAAGTGTCTGCGGACGCCGCCGGCTCACTGCCTCTAGAGCGAGATGAGCACGCAACCCTAGAGTCGGACACGACTGGCCAGTATGGGCAGGGGTACCTTTACCTTTACCTTTATAACTCCCTCCAAGGTATTTCTTAAAAAATCATTTAACCACATCAGTTAAGAAACATGGATACATATGCTATAATGTTATTGTTTTAGTTAAATAAATTGTTTAAATTGTTATTAATGAAATGATTATTTTTTCCTTCCAATAAAGTACAGCAGAAAAGTTGTCCAAATATAAACAGTTAATTTATTAAACCTCACAAAAATTTCATAATTATCTGTCAATGTATTTCTAATAGTATAACCAAATCAGTAATTTTTGATATAACTGTAAAAACCACTCTGAAAATTTATTATTCCAAAAATGAAACCTTCATCTGGCTGTAAATATTAGGACCATTCCAGCAAGAATGAGCCTTTCTGTAAAAAAATAAATAAAAATCAAGTCTTACTGATTAGTGATTTAAATCGTGATTTAAATCAAATCCACCCTGTAACTGGAGCAATGAGAGTCGATGCTGGAGCTCATAAAGGGAGCATGTACCACAAGCAATTAGGAAGGGGCAATATGTCAGTGTCAGTTTCTCTTGGTTTCTTATTTTAAATTCATTTCTCCACATTTTCATATCAGTTTCCAACTCCTCATCCCCACCATCAACATTTAGTGTGAATGTAATTTTTACTCTTAGGCCCTATCTGCAGGGTCATACTGATTTAAGCAGTCATGGTTTCCCCTTGGGGGCAGGATGTTTGTTGACTATTTTGGCTGTGAATCCTGGCAGACTAGCTCTCTCCCTTGCAGGTCATTTTTCACTTGGCCTGGGAGATGGGAACCTGACAGACTCCAACTACAAAAGCTTGTAGGTTATTGTATGCATACTTTACCCTAGTATGTGCATTTGTCTATAGATTACATGGCTGGATAACTGAACTGCAAAAATGGGAGAAGGGCAGATTCTGAAGGATAGCTTTGTTTTGCTCTGCCAATTGAGTAAATGCACCTTTAAATATGAACTGACTTGAATTTCTTCCCTGCTCCTACAGGTAATGCAGAACCTAGAACACTACTTTATGAAAAGTCATGTTCCGTGGCTTGTGGCTAAGATATGGCCTTAGAAAGTGAGTCAGGGGGTTTACGTTTTGGTGATCAAAGAGGATGAAAGTTCTTCTCACTTACACAGTTTGCCAACTGCAAGGGAAGACAAGCAGGACTGGTCACTGGAATCGTCACACTCCTCAGTGGTGGCATTTCTGCAATCTTTTCCTTGATCAAAACAAGACTCACATGTCAGAGATGCCACTGCAGACAGGGGGAAAATGGGTTTAGAAAACATTAGTAACTGTGTAGGAGGAACAGGTCTGCATCAAGGTACATGAACACAACACTTTCTGCTACAAACCTCATCTTACGAGAGGCAGCAAAGGCCACTGACTTGGATAGCTTCAAAAGTGGACTAGATACATACATGGTTACCATCCACAATTGATATATTTTTTCTGCAATATTGTAGGCACTATTTGTCTGAATACTAGTTACTTGAATCTACATAAAGTGAGCTGTTGCACTCAGATCTTTCTTAGGGGCTTCCCATAGGACCCATGGCAAGAACAAGAGGCTAGACTAGATGGACCATTGTTCAGCTACATAATGCTTTCTATATATATTCCTTCTGTAGTTCTTAAACTCTGTGAATAGGGGTGGGCCTTGCATAGACCAGAGAATGATTGTAGAAAATGACTCCTGCAGTCTGAGGGAGAGGACCAGTAGAGAAGGTGTGGGGAAACCTTTAACCCTCCCGAAGTTGTTGTACTACAACTCCCATCAGCACCAGCAAACATGACAGACTCTGGTAAGCACATCTGGTACCCCTGTGACCTGACTCCACTCAGAGATTGGGGTGGCATTTAACACCAGGAAACTTAAAGTTTGCATGGGGGGGCAGGGTAATTCCGCTCCAAAATATGAGAAGAATAGTGCCTATACATTGTCTCCTATCATAAACTTCTACAAACGCAAGAAACTTACTCTTTGCTTTAAATATGAGCTAGAATTCTGGTTCATCGAAGAGTGAACTACTGCCTTTCTCGCTCCCCCAATGTACTTGGGGATGCCACAGCTCTCTGTACGCATTTGGTTAAATAAAAATTGAATATTGGGAACAAAACAATATAGCATTGAGGATCCTTTGTAATCCGGCCTTGTGCTTTATTCCTCTCCCTTTCAAAGGAACCACAAGTCCTGGTTCCTTCCTCATCCTGCTTTAATTGCTGACACCCCCCCCCACCTCGTTCCTTCCTGGAAACATGACGAACAGCCCAGCGGCTGTGGTTCTGCTCACCTGGAGGAAGCAGGGCCAAGAGGAGGCAGGAGATCAGGAGTGTCTTCATCATTCTAGAGAGCTGAAAAGGCAGGAAGGAGTTCGAGAACAGCACTGGGCCAAGCAAGGAACTGATGCATGAAGAGGCTTAGTTGGAGGAATTTATAGAGGATTGCAAGGAGTACTTTGCCAGCACCCAGGAACAATGGATTCAGGACAGTGTCATAAATTGCTAGAATTCTAATTATGCTATACCATAATGTAAAGCACAGTGTTGAAAACCAATTAAATCTCTTCCCCTTCCAATAACTCCAAGGACACGTCCCTCCTAATCTGTGCCAGCCTCAATTTCTCAAGCCTGGATGTGGGGAAACGGGTCCCATCAGGTTACAGCACTGAAATTGGATTAGGCTTCTGGAAGCCAAGGCAGTTTCCCTGACAGTATGAACTTTTTGAAAGGGGGACAAATGTCTGTCCACAGTTTCCTTTGTGGTACAGTAATAAAATGCACAGTGACCCGGATCCCCTCCCTCCCATTAAATGCACTTGTTTGGGGTAAAGAATTGGTCCACTTGCTCTTTAAAATAAGTTGATTAGAGTTAAGAGAGTCCCATGGACTGCAAAAAGATCAAACCTATCCATTCTGAAGAAATCAGCCCTGAGTGCTCACTGGAAGGACAGATCCTGAAGCTGAGGCTCCGATACTTTGGCCACCTCATGAGAAGAGAAGACTCCCTGGAATAGACCCTGATGCTGGGAAAGATTGAGGGCAGGAGAAGGGTACGACAGAAGACGAGATTGTTGGACAGTGTTCTCGAAGCCATTAACATGAATTTGACCAAACTGTGGGAGGCAGTGGGTGACAGGAGTGCCTGGGGTGCTCTGGTCCAGGGGGTCACAAAGAGTCAGACACGACTAAACGACTAAACAACAACAGAGTTAAGAGCAGGTGGGGGAATTGCAGGTCTGTGTCCAGAGGAGATTGCAGATTTAAGGGACAATCTTTTACGGGGGTTGTAAATACACAAGCACAGCTCCACATCCTTTGCTTTGGTTTCTCTTGTGATGCTGATGAAACTCAAAGACATCGTGAATGATGTGGATTTGGCATTTGGACAATGAGAGATGGAGAGTGGCAGCACCACAGATGTCCTGGGAGAGTTTTCTTGCTGCAAAGTTAGTACAGTGGTACCTCGGGTTACAGATGCTTCAGGTTACAGACTCTGCTAACACAGAAATAGTACCTCGGGTTAAGAACTTTGCTTCAGGATGAGAATAAAAATCAGGCGGCAGCAGCTCGGTGGCAGAGGGAGGCCCCATTAGCTAAAGTGGTACCTCAGGTTAAGAACAGTTTCTGGTTAAGAACGGACCTCCAGAATGAATTAAGTTCTTAACCAGAGGTACTACTGTATACTATATCCAATTGCTGACACAGCTTAATTAACACAACTTAACAGCATCTGCTATACTGTTTCACAGCTGTAAAACTAGGTCATGATATTTACTCTGGCCTTTAAAGAGATACACATCTTGTAAAACAATAAGGAACCTTAATATTTAAATAAACCATTCAACACAAAGAGGTTAGCTCAAATGTATAAGAATGTACCTAATAAGTGTTGGAAATGTAAATATTGCAAGGGGTCATTCTGTCACATGGGGTGGACCTGCAAGGAGGGTAAGGTCTGTTGGGACATGTTATATAATGATTTTTAAAAAATCAAAAATCAGACTGATTTTTCCAAGAGTCCAGAACCCTTCTGGCTGGGGATATTGATGAGCAAAATTCCAAATCAAGGGATCTTTATGCTCACAGGTGGAAAGTTGTGAGACTACCCTGAAGTAAGTTCTTAACCTGAGGTACCACTGTATTATGTATATATTTGTGTAATATATAATGCTGCTACATAATTTACTGTAAGCTTAGATTCTTCACATTGTTTCTTCTAAGAAGAATGGGACTCCCAGATGTTGGTAATCACAATGGAGGGGGTGGGGAGAGTGACATTGGGCTCATGTCCTCTTCCTTCACCATCTTCTTCTTCATATTATAAGAGGGAATTATTATAAGATGATGTACCGATGTTATTTCACTCTGAAGAGCTTAGATCGAATATATAAGAATGTACCAAAAGAATGTTGGAAATGTAAGAATTGCATGGGGCCATTCTGTCACATGTGGTAGACCTGTAGGAAGGCTAAGGTTTTGGGGGGTATGATATATAAGCTGGGGCGGGGGGGGAATCAAACTGACTTTTCCAAGAGTCCAGAACCCTTCTGGCAGGCGATATTGGTCAGCAAAATTCCAAACTCTGTTTATGTATGCAGCTACAGTAGCAAGGGATCTTTATGCTCAGAGGTGTAAAGTTGTGAGAATACCCTGAAAGGAAGAATGGATGGTGAAAGCCTTAGAATATGCAGAGATGGCAAAGGTAAAGCAGGAGAGGCTGCTAAAACGTGGGCACTTCCCCACATAATGCATTGCATCTGAGGGTCAAGCAGAGGGCAAGGCCTCCCTGGGCGGCATGGAGGGGGGAGTGCAAAGAGTCTAGATTTCGCTTCTACCCCAAAAATCTTTTATGTTTGTGTCCAATGTTGCCACTTTCTAAAATTTATTTATTGGTGCATGCTTTTCTCTCGTAAATGTACCAAACCTGAAATAAAATAAAACTGGGATAATGGGGCATTCTCAGGTCAGTGGAGGATGTACGTGCTGTGTCCTGTTCGTGATGTGGTTGTGGAACTTGCCATTTTTCTGATAGAAAATGCTGTGTGGGGGCATGGGGTGGGGGACAAAAATGGGGGGAGTGTCAGTTGTGGGAGTGAGAAATGTCCATGTTTTCATCTGAGGAATGTTGGAGGGTATGCAGTGGCTCTTGAACATCAATATGAAGCTGTTGGGAAGAGTCAATTGGAGTTTTGGAGTGAAACTCTGGATTGGTTCTTGGATGCCATGGTGCATGACAGCCAACAAACTGAGATAGAACCGTGAAAAACTGGAGGCCTTATGAATGACCGCTCCCCGCTTAAAACGGGGGGCGCCCTTTGCGTGGACGCGCGCAGCCCCTAGATCTGGAGTGGCTCCAACAGCATAGGCTTGGTTTGCCTTCCCTCAGATGGGATACCTGGAGGTCTCCGCCTACCTCAGTCAGTTGTCCAATCCCACCTGGGGGAAGCGTTGCCAAGGAGACCAGGCCAGGTAGGGGAGGGATTACCTGCCCACACAATAGAGGGAGGATCTTACCTGGGAATCCTCACTTGGCTCCAGAGCTTCTCCCACCCTACCCACCCTCAGTTAATGTCTTATTTGCAGGTTAACTTTTCTTCACAGGTTTTGCAGGTTAACTTTTCTTCGCAGGTATGCGGGCGCTGCTACGTTAAGGTCGCTGTTAAAGGGCCGGAAAGGAATTTCCCTGCATTGGCAGGTTTCGCCTTTCCTGTAGCAAAACGTCACAACTTTGGCGGTATCAGGCCTTGGGCGGAATCCTTTAGTCCATCTTCCTCTTTGCGGCAGCGATACCAGGGTTCCCCGTTAAAGGGGTTTCTGAAGGGAGGCTTTGACCGTACGCCGAAAGGTCGTCATTGCTCTCCCCTGCGGCGGCGGCGTAACGGGGGCGGCTATCTCTGCTTGAACATATGTTCTCCAGAGCCGGCCCATCCCCCCCCCACACTGGATAACCCTGATGCTCCCTAGGTTCCCGGCTGGGGACTGGGGAGGGAGAACGCCCAATGCCTGAGCCAAGGTTTACCCACATTTGAAATTTAATAAAGTTGTGGCCAATTTAATCCCATAGCACGTTGTCATGAGTCGTTATTCCACATGACGGGGGGACCGTGCGGGATCTGGGGACTCCGCCTGTCCACACAATGAGTGATTTCTGGGTCAATTGCTTGGCAGGCTGGACACAGTGGTTCATGCACTGGTAACTTCAAGACTTGATTATGCCAGCATGCAGTGGGACAGTGGGACTGTCTTTGTATCAGGTCCAGAAGCTGCAGCTATTGCAGAACACAACAGCCAGAGTGCTCATAGCAGCAGACTACTGCCTACGTGTCACTCTGTTGCTGAGACAGTGGCACTGGTTGCCAATTTGCTGCCATGTCACATTCAAGGTGCTTATGTTTATTTCCACTGATCCCTGAGCAATGTGAGCCAACAGTGCCTTGAGGAATGCACAAACCCTTATGCTACACCTCAAGCAGTGAGATCCTTTAACTGGGGCAATTCTTGTAGCTCTCTACATACCTGAGGTTTAGTCAGCTTTCAATTCACAGGAAGCCATTAGTGCAACAGGAGAGAGAAAAGCTTTTATTCCTTTCTCACAGTACTAGAATTTGTGGGCAGCCAAGGACAGTGAATGTTGGAAGCTTTGAGAAAGATGGAAGAAAGTACAGTGGTACCTCTGGTTACGAATGGGATCTGTTCCGGAGGCCTGGCCGTATCCCGAAATCTTCATAACCTGAGGCGCCTGTTCTCCTCATGTGTGCAGCGCCGTGGAGCACTTCTGTGCATTCGTGAGGTGCGTAGAGCGCTTCTGCGTGTGCTTGAGTGGCAAACCCACTTCCTGGTTTGCTACGTCCTCAACCCAAAAGTTACGTTACCCAAAGGTAACGTAACCCGAGGGTCCACTGTACTGTTTGAAATAGCATATGGTTAAACTCTGGAATTAGCTCTCAGGAAGTAAAGATGGGCAGCAACGTGGATGTGTTTGATTGAGGATTAGGAGAAACTGATGGAGGATAAGGCTATCAATGGCTACTAACCAATTGGCCATGTTCTTCCTCAAGCGTTGGAGACAGTATTCCTGTGAATGTCAGTTGGTGGGAATCACAAGCGGGGGGGACAGGATGGGACCAACTTGTGTTGCTGTCCAGTCCTGCTTTGAGGCTTTGCACAGGCATCTTACTGGCCATTGGGACAACAGAGTTCTGGAACAGCTGGACTGGTTCAGCAGGCTGATGCAAGCTGTGCCAGTTGAAGCTTGTGAGAAATCTAACATTAGCCCAAATTTTGATTGCCTCAAAGTGGTGCTCACCCAGTGTACCTGCTGAAGACGAGGGGATTCACAATGT